CCTGGGTTAGAGGATCTCTTCCCACTCAGGATGTTGACACCTAGAACAAGGCAGGGTGGCAGGTTTTTTTGTTGTTTGTTTGTTTTTTCTTTTTGCATCTTTAGGGAGACAACCAGAGAATGCAAACTTCCCCCTGTTGCGCAATCCCCTTCCCAGACTCACTATACAAACTCTGCCTATAGCTTCATCTCCAGCTCCAGCCACACCCCAAGACCCTGCTACAACCCCAGCCCCTTCTGCGCCCCCAGCTCCTGTTGTATCACTGGCCTCTGCTACAGCTACAGCTCCTACTATACCCCCAGCCATGCTGTATCCTCCTCCTGCTACGCCCCCAGTTCCTACTACAGGCCCCAACTCCTTATGCACCCTAGCTCTTGCTCCACCCCCAGATTCTGCCATTTTCCCCAGATTACACCGTACTCTCAAATCCTGCTACATCACTAGCTCCAGCCCATCCAGCCTGCCTGCCCCCCCCCCATCATGAGCAAGAGACCATTAGGAACTGCAGCCATTCCCCTAGTCCTTGGTGCTTGCAGCATCTTCCAAAGAACAGAGTGAGCCAGTGCCAGGAAGACTAGGGGTCCGTAGCCAGATAGTGACCCACCCTACCTCGTAGCCAGGACAAAGGCCTCATCACCTTCCAGCTACTTGGAGACAGAGAAGGAACAAGTAGGGATCCACATTCTCTAACACTATCCCAGTTTCTGTGCCTCCTGTCACTCAGACCCTCCATCCAAATTCTGACTCTGATTTGGTGGGACTAAGTTGATCGACTTCCCGGCAGGAGCCACGGCCAATGCCACACCTGAGCAGCTCTCTGCTTCATGAAGTCTCAGTGGCCTGGCTGCTGCTCATGACCCTCTTCTTCTGCCAACCAACCCCAAATGAGACATCAGACATAGCAAAGGAAGCCAGATCTGAGCCCGCACCTCCCAGCTCCCCAGATTCCATGTAGGGTCCCCATTCACCGCCTATAGGGAAGACATTTCCCTCAAACAGAGTCTAGAAGTAGACACCAGGCCCGTGCATGTGCCAGTACAGTCCTCCTGGTTCACATTAGCTCCATACATGACAAAAACAGCTTCTCCAGGGCTGTTTTGGTCCAGACACCCAGAAGGCCCCTCCTGGACAGTCAGCCCCAACCCAGCAGCAGAGATAGAACTAAAACAGGGACATGAAACACACACACACATACACACGCACACACACTCACACACGCACACACGCAAAGCATATACTGGTAAGCAAGAACACTCACACAAGCATATACGTGTGCAGATATAAGCTACCTCTAGCATCTCTGAGACATTCCTTCAGGTCCTCTGCTACACAGCCTCACATGAGTGCAGCTCCACACCAGGCTACAAATACACAGGCCCAGGCCCACACAAGCACACAGTTGGTAAACACCAATCCCCACACCCGCAGCCCCATTCAGAAGCTCCCATGGACACCCACAGCTATCCTCAAAGGAAGTCATTACTAAAATCACGGGATGTGGAAAACTCCAGCATCCCAAAACTGCCACAAGGCTCAGTCCTTAATGGGGGGCTCAGAAGCCACAATCCAGACAACAGACTGCTACCCTCAAGATCCTGGGGAAGGAGCCGGGCGTTGGTGGCGCACGCCTTTAATCCCAGCACTCGGGATGCAGAGGCAGGTGGATCTCTGTGAGTTCGAGGCCAGCCTGGTCTACTAAGTTCCAGGACAGCCTCCAAAGCTACAGAGAAACCCTGTCTCGAAAAACCAAAAAAAAAAAAAAAAAAAAAAAAAAGATCCTGGGGAAGGAAGGAAAAGTCCCTCTGCAAACATTACAAGAGGGTACAGCACCCCTAGTCATCCCACAACCTTCCTGTCTAGCTGCCTACCATGTGCCCCAAGCCAACATCCAGGAGCCAGCCTTCAGTCTCCACTTCAGGCTACCACTTGCCATGAGTTATCTCTGCTCTAAGTTCCCCTCCGTCTCATCCCTGGCTCAGGCAACAGTGGAAGCATGTACAAAGGTCCCTGTGTGCTCATACTTCAAACTGGGCATCCCTCAGGCAAGCAGATGCATCTCCTACCCGTTTTATCTTTCATCTCTGGCATGCGGTCAGTGGCTACTACCCTCTGCCGTCCCTCCTGACATAAGTGTGGGCAGCTCATGGAATTCCCCCAGAACCCCAGGAGGAGGTGGAGAATCAGTCCTTGCCCTCTGAAGAGATAGAGACAGGATGGACATAAGAAGCCCCAACTTGGAAGGGTCTAGGCCCTGCCCTATATGAAATGACAGACTATGGACACCCCCATGGAGGGCCTCACCCTCCCTGGGGGAATGAGGGGATAACAGGGGGGTTTGGGGGAGGGCACGGGAGGAGGAGAGGGAAAAGGAGAGGGACCTGGAACTGACTTGTGAAGCAACCTTGTTTCCTATCTAAATTTAAACTGGAAAATAAAATTTAAAAAAAAAGAAGCCCCAACTCAGAGGACCGAGGGAATGTCTTAGCAGTCTCGGAGGTGACCCCATGTGTTGGCCTCACTGACTACAGACGCCAGGAACCCAGCCCAGATTTCTGTCTCCTCCAGTGTACCACGGAGTTCTGCTCTGAACTGGAGTGTCAAGACCACAGAAAGGTCCAGAACCCTTCAGGCCTCAGACCCAGGAATTTATGCCTGCCTTCATCATCACCACATCCTTGAAGAGGGGCCCAAGGCTTAAAGACCTTCCCCAGAGGTTCCACCAGAGTCAGCAGACACTCACTTGCCAGTGACTCCAGGGGGAAGCAGGAGTGCAATCCAGAGAGCCTTTGAAATGTGTCTGCCTAGTGAGGGACAGTGTGGCCCAACCTATGCCACTGTGACCAGCTGGCTGGATAGAACTGGGACAACCTGTAGTGTTTGGGCAGCCAGGGTTCCCAGAGGACACCAAAGTTTGCTACAGCAACCAGGGACAAAAGAATGAGACAAGGTCTGCCATAGGACTTCCTTTTAACTCCAGTCAGGGGCCGTGTCTTACGTTTGTCTCAGGCTAATGAATTTCCTTAATTTGACCCCAATTCTAAGAGGACTAAGTGTTAAAACACCTTCCTGTGGCTGACACACCCTACCTGATCTCTCCTGCCAATAATGGTGGCCCAGGAAAGATCTAGAACTGACCAGATGTCCAGGAGATACCTAGTGTCCTTGGATAGAGTCATCAAACAAAATACAGGACACCCAAATCAGAATTCCAGATAAACAATGAACTCCTTTTTACTATAAATGTCTCAAATCTTTTATATTAAAAAGTATCTGCCGGGTGGTTGTAGCGCACACCTTTAGTCCCGGCACTTGGGAGGCAGAGACAGGTAGATCTCTGTGAGTTCAAGGCTAGCCTGGTCTACAGAGCAGGTTCCAGGACAGCCAGAGCTACACAGAGAAGTCCTGTCTCAAAAAAAAAAGTATCTGGCCGGGCGTTGGTGGCGCACTCCTTTAATCCCAGCACTCGGGAGGCAGAGGCAGGCGGATCTCTGTGAGTTCGAGGCCAGCCTGGTCTACAGAGCGAGTTCCAGGACAGCCTCCAAAACAATACAGAGAAACCCGGTCTCAGAAAAAAAAAGTGTCTGATATTCATCTGAAGTTCAGATTCACCTGGGTATCTGTATCCAGCAGCCTTCCCTCAGAGGCTCATTAGTTCAAAGCCACCCTGTGTGGGTCTGTTGCCATTCAGCACAGCCCTAAGGAGCCACCTTCCCAAAGACATCCCTCCCTTGCCATGCAGGTCTTCCTCCCTTCCTATCCTGCCTTCATGGATGCTGAGGTGCCCATTCTGTTTTGTGGTTAGGTGGAAGAACCCGGACCATGTGCCCAGTTCTCTGGGTGTCAGAATGCCCATCACAGCTGCATTCTCTGTCTTCACCTATCATAGAGGCTGAAGGTATTGAAGGCATCAGGGACCTGACACCCGAAACCTAGAACAGCAGCTATGTGGGAGGAAGGATTGTTGAAGATGCAATTGAGAAGGTGGGAGCTTATCAGGGCTCTCCAGTTATGCTCCACCTATAGCCATGGGTGTCCTTATAGGAGAGAGATTTCACACTCATAGAAGAAATGGGACTACCTGAAAAAAAATTTTTTAAAAAACAGACTGCAAAGGCTGGGTCATTAGCCCAGACGTGCCAACTAAGCCAAGAGAGGAAAGGAGAGCTACAATGGTTTCACCTCTGCCCAGTGGTGCTGATTGCACCATTATCTGGCTCCAAAGTCACACTACGTGTGGTCATTTGTTGCAGTAGCCCTGGGAGATTGACACAATGGGGCCTTGTGGGAACAGAACACCAAGGACCAGTGGAGCTTTACCGTGGCCCTGTGAAGGGAATCTGCTCACCCTACCCAATCTCTACCTGCAATAGCAGGAACAAACCTTGAGAGGTAAGAAGTGGGGAGGACAGCTTCCTGGGACAGCAGTGAGTGGAGAATAGTCCTACCATCTGCCTTGCCTGGCCACCAAAGTCATAGCATGTTCTGGGACAAGTGGATCAATCCCACCTCACCTGATGAGTCATTGGCCTCCTGATTTCTGGAGGAGGTGTTGCTACAATTTAAGGGTTGAAGAGCTGGGTCAAGGGGCAGCATGGACATGGGGTGGGCTCAGCAAGGCAGGAGTGGGAGCAAGACGGGCTTCTGTCAGAACCCGGAAACCTAGGGGAAAGAAGTGTGTGCCCACATCCGTGGGGAGGAGCTCTAAGGTGTCACGGTTCCTTAGCGGGTCCTTCAGGATACCCAGCCACGGTTTTGGTTCTACCAATGGTCTTGCACATCCTACCAAGACACACAAACTGAATCATAGCCATCAAAGCAATTTGATCCTTCTATCCTCACCTAGCTGGGGATTTCCAGCACCCACGCAGTGTGCCCCACCACCTACCCACGATGCTTAGGAGGGCAGTTGGCTAGGTCACCTGGCAGCGGTAACATGTGCCAGTCACCTTGGGCAACAGGACTTTGATAAAGAGGGCCCCAGCAGTAGGCACACACGGCTCTGGGGTCGCTCAGTTTATTGGGAAAATGGGCACTGAGCGTGGTGAGTGCTGGTGCGGAAGCTCGGGGCGGGGGCGCTTTTCCTCTTGAAGAATTTCCACTGGACCTTGATGGCGAGCATCCAGTCGCTGACGTAGAGCCTCTTACAAGCGGAGGTGCAGACATGCGCCTGGCAGGGGAGCGGGGTGGAGGGGCCGCGCCTGGGGCGGGGGCGGGGGCGGGGCCAGTTCCGGGGGCGGGGCTGGGGGCGCGGCGCGGCGCCGTCAGGGAGGGCCACGCCGCGGGCGCCCGAGCTTCACTTGCCCGCTTTCTGCGCCTTCTGTGCGGACTTGGTGACCTTGCCTGCGCCGCCGCTCTTCTTCTCGACGTTCTTGATGACGCCCACGGCCACAGTCTGCCGCATATCGCGCACGGCGAAGCGGCCTGTGGGGAGAGATGCGTAAACTGCGGGGGGGCGCCCAGGATGCAGTGCGCAGGTGCATTGGGCATCCGCAGAACTGCTTAATGCCGCTTAAGGGATGTTAAGGGGGGGAATCACTCGACTTGCTGTGGGTCCCGGGGAAGCCCTTTGGGGGTTCTTCCTCAGAAAAGAAGCACCATCCCAGATGTGTCTGTCAAGCACAGAGAGGGATGGATGGTGGTGTGTGTGCGTGTGCGTGCGTGTGCGTGCGTGTGCATGCGTGTGTGTGTGTGTGTAATAAAACCTCCTACTAAATGTTGCATGCTGCACGTTGCTCGGTAGTTTACCATAGTAAAGGAACCCCTGGCCCCGCCCACAAGCAGTGCATTGGTGCGTTGACCCCAGCTTGGGTCAACCACCATCTTGGGTTACACCTTGGATCACCCAGCTCACCGAGAGGTGGGTACTGTGAGAAACTCTCCACACACATGGGCTTTCCGGGAACCATCTCCACAATGGCTGCATCACCAGACTTCAGGGACTTGGGGTTGTCCTCCAGCTTCTTGCCAGAACGCCGGTCAATCTTCTCCTTCAGCTCGGCAAACTTGCAGGCAATGTGGGCCGTGTGACAGTCGATAACGGGCGAGTAGCCGGCGCTGATTTGCCCGGGGTGGTTCAGGATGATGACCTGGGAGCAGAGTTGAAGACAGGGCCAGTGCTAGGTGGGGTGGGGTGGCTCCAGTCACAGGGTCACCTCCCAGTCCCCAGGTTTTTGTGCAAGGAATGCTCGGACCACAGGAACGCCGCTTCTGGGTTCATACCCCAATAGTCTGCCAAAGCGTGTGGCAAGCCGCGAGGCAGTCAACAGATAGTTGCACTGTTTGAAAGAGCCAGGACTGCACAGACATATTAATCCTGACCAGAACCGAGGACCGGGACAAAACTGAACCTCAGTTATAGTGCTTCTATTACATTTCAATAAAGCTGTTCTAAAATCCTTGTCCCATGAAGAGATAGATGACAAAGAGGGTACAAGATGACTCTGGGACAGAGGTGTTTGCTTCCGGGTCTTGACCTGAGTTCAGTCCCTGGGAGCCGCAAGATGGAAGTGGAGAACTGATTCCAAGTTGTCCTCACCTCCATACATGTACTGTGGCGTATGCACACAAACACACACACACACACACACACACACACACGCACACACACACACACATACAAACCACAAAATAAGCGGGTGTGATATTTTTTTAAATTAAGAGAATGAAGTGCTACAGTGATACCCCAGGCAGTAAGTTAATAAAAGCCTTTCTAAAGGCCAAAGATCCCAGAGTATAACTGCCCTGATGTTCTGCTTACCTGCTGGTAACTCTGAGCACACATTTAGCCTCTGAACACTGAGTGGCCTTAGGGTGAAATGGAGGGTGTTCCCCTTCAGCGCCAGGTGAAGGGCCAGAAGCCACTGCTCTTTGACACCCCAGCCCTTCTCTCCCCCTGTTCTGAGAGAAGGGGTGTCCACACACACGCTCGTGCAGCCACCCACCTGGGAGGTAAACTGGGCAGCCTCCTGGGGAGGATCGGATTTGCTGTCCCCACAGACATTGCCCCGGCGGATGTCCTTGACAGACACGTTCTTCACGTTGAAGCCGACGTTGTCACCAGGCAGGGCCTCGCTGAGCGCCTCGTGGTGCATTTCCACAGACTTCACCTCTGTGGTGATGTTTACCGGTGCAAAGGTCACCACCATCCCAGGCCGAAGGATGCCAGTCTCCACTCGGCCCACAGGCACAGTCCCAATGCCTGGGACAAGAGGGGGTTAGGTAAGAGGGCGGGCCAGAGGAGGGGGTGCAGGGCAAAACAAAAAGCAGAGGGAGGGTCAGCGAGTAGACAGAGTTCAGGGCTTGCTCCTCTCTGAAGGTGTCAAGGGAAATGGACTCGTGGAGGGAGTAAGGAAACAGGGGGTCCCCAGACAAGCAGAGGGTGATATGACAGCAGGAGAGTCCCCCCTGGCCCAGCAAGGGAATAAGAGACGAAATCAGAGTTCCCGGGATTCAAAAGGTAAGGGTCAGGGCAGAGAAGGGGGGAATGGGGTCATCTCCCAGAGGACAGCTATCCCTCATAGGGAACATCAACAACAGCATCCTCTCTCTGTCTCTGTCTCTGTCTCTGTCTCTGTCTCTGTCTCTGTCTCTCTCTCAGAGCCACAGGCAGGCATGGGCCAACTCACTGGGATGCTCTCACCCACACAGGACTCCCCAAGTCCTGCTGTAGCATTGTGGTTCTACCACTGAAGAACCACATCTGGCCCCAGCACTTCCGGCAGGCCTGCCCACACTGGCAGTGTGGTTACCACAGGGACATCCCAATGAGCAAGTGGCCGGGCGAGGGAGCACCGCTCTCTGCCATCTCCTGGAAGCTTGGGGGTGGTGTCATTATGGGGTGATGGAGAAAAGCCAGCAGTTGTGTCCTGGGTTGGAGTAAGCATCAGCATGGTATCCTCATTCCTCCCCCTTTGCTTGTCTCATGTTTGGCTTTGGTTCCTACTGACTAATGACTTGCATTTCTCATTCCTGGACTAGGACCGCCTCCCATGAGACAGGCGTCCCCTCACCCTGCAGGTGAAGTGCAAGTCAGTTCAATGCTCCCATCTAATGTCCCCAGCTCCTAGCTGAATGCTTGGGGAGCTGGAGAGTGGAGAGGGAATCCTCTCCAGGTGAATGGGTGGATGATTGGATGGATGGATGGATGGATGGATGGATGGATGGATGGATGGATGGATGGAGATGGGTAGGAGGGGTGACTGAGTAGGCAGATAGATGTGGACGGATGGATAGAACAAGAATCAAGGGTGCTGGATAAATGGATGGGTGTGAAAGAACATGGTGTTGGGAGAGAGGTGGGAGAGAGACAACCAGCCTGAGGGTTTCTTGTTGATGTCCTTCCTGGTCGAGGTTAGGGACAGAGTCTGCAAGCCCTTACGGGGAGCAGTGAGCTCCCATACTCATCTTGGGTCTAGCGAATTCATTACCACCCGCCTTCAATGCTGAGACCTCACTCACCACCAATCTTGTACACATCCTGCAGTGGGAGGCGGAGGGGCTTGTCAGTGGGGCGGGTTGGGGGCAGGATTGTGTCCAGGGCTTCTAGCAGGGACACGCCACTTGCATTTCCTTCCTTGCGTTCTACTTTCCAGCCCTTAAACCACGGCATCTGGGCAGGAGGGAGGAAAAAAAAAAAAGGTGCCAATTATCGGGCAACCCACCTGACCACACCCTCAACATCAGATCTTTGAGATTCTGGGAGTGGCACCTGCCTAAGGGATAACCTGGGCAGGGGGGAGGCTCACTGTTAAAGCTTCAGAATAGCTTGCTCCCCATAACCTTCTCACTCACATTCCCAACCTCACAGGGACCCTGAACAAACGTAACTTAGAGAAGAGTGACGGGGCAAAAAAGCAAAACAAAACAAGCAAACCAAAACACCTCCCCAGGCTGTACTGTCATGTCCCCAACACTGACAAAGGAGACCTCCCAATTGGGCCTGATTCCCTAATCCCTCAGGGACCTGGTCAATCACAGCCCTAGACAGGTCAAGTACCAGGGGGGGCAGAGGCTCAACCCTGGCCAATAGCCTTGTCAAGGATAAAGTCCAGCCTCTGCCCCAACCCCAGAAGCTCTGCTGGTTACCAAGCTGTCTTCAAGCTCAGGGTCTACCACCACCACCACCACCATCACCACCACCAGAGCCTCTCTGGAGGATGACTTCAAACCCTCCTGACACAGAGCTCCTCACGGTCCAGCTGCCACAGACAAGAAGTAAATCCACGGGGGGGGGGGCTGTGTGTCCTCCTGCCTTTGTCTTTACGACAAGATCTCAGGCACCTCACAGGTCAACAGATGGCTCTTGAAGCATGGGTGAACAGAGCCCCCAGAGCACAATAGAGTGGTAGGAAGCAGGGAGGACCCTGCTGGTCTAAGGTCTCCAGGGGATTCTAAGGTCCTGATAATCGTACATCAGCAAGAACAACATGGAGTATCCCCTGCCTGCCAAACTCTATCCTCATACCACCCTTGGTCTCCTGCCTATCCCCAGAGAGCCTATGCAAAGCTGGCCAAAGTTGAGTGCCCACCTCTCTAGGACAGGGGTCTCTTCTGGATAGACCAAGATCTATGTCCCAGGCTCTCTCTGGAAAAAAAAAATGTCTCCCTCCTCACCCAAAACTCAGAGACCCAGAGCTGCAGAAGCTTCAAGCTTCCCAGAGGACCAGCCAAGAGACATTCTTCTACTCTCCAGGCCAACCCAGGGATATGCATGCTTCCCAGATACAACCCACTTCAGACCTCAGAGGAGGCCTTGTGACCTTGCTGGTCCTGCACAGTATCCAAAATTAGGACAGTGGCTTGGGAGAAATAAAAACTGATGCCCTCACCTCCGGCCCAACAGGCTGTGGCCAGAGGAGGAGCCTCGCCTTCCTCTTTTGGCCTCATGGGGAGGCTGAGCTAGAGGACCCCAAGTGCAGGTCCCTTACGAGGAGGTGTCCCCAGGAGGCTGGCACTCATCACTACAGAAACCCAACTGAACCACTGGAAGCTCAGCCCAGCCTGACTTAGAGTCTTGTAGCCTGGGGCTCCTGGGAAGGTCAGTACTGCCCCAACACCTATCTTCACTCACGTTGGGCGAAGGCTCCAGCATGTTGTCACCGTGCCAGCCTGAGATTGGCACGAAGGGCACCGTGGCTGGGTTGTAGCCAATCTTCTTGATGTAGGCGCTGACCTCCTTGACAATCTCGTCGTAGCGCTTCTCGCTGTAGGCTGGCTCCGTAGAGTCCATCTTGTTGACACCCACAATGAGCTGCTTTACGCCCAGAGTGTAGGCCAGGAGGGCATGTTCCCGGGTTTGCCCGTTCTTGGAGATGCCCGCCTCAAACTCACCCACACCGGCTGCCACGATCAGCACTGCACAGTCCGCCTATCCAACAGATCAGAGACGGTGAGGCTCCTGGCCCAGCCTTTTACTTAGCCCCGCCACCCACAAAATGGGACCTGGGCAGTTATCCTGGGGATAGAGACTCGGGATCTCCTCCTTTAGGGTAGCTAGCAGGGGACTCCTTCACTAAGCTCTGAGTCAAGAAGGCCCAAAACTGGTCATCAGCTCCATCACCAGCAGGCTATGTGCCCTTGGATGGGGCATTGGCTTCTGGTTCTGTCCTGCCTGCCAGTGATTGTCTGGTTCTGACTTATTTTCTACCCACATCTCGTCCCTAATGTGGCCTCTTCTACAAAAATCTGTCTGTGAAGGACATGCCTTCAGTTTCCCCTCCGTCTGACTGCTGGCCCCGACCGTGGCTGGGTAACCCTGCAGGCACCCCATCTAGCTGAGATATAAGCACTGACTCAGTCCTTGAGGAACTCTGTGCCAAGCAGGATGGAGGTGACCTGGGGTGGAGCTCTGTCCTGGCAGGGAATACAAGAGGCACTGACACCTCAGGAGAGCCCTTGGGCTCGGTACCCTCCATGCACACCTGCGATGTGCCGGTGATCATGTTCTTGATGAAGTCCCGGTGGCCTGGGGCATCAATGATGGTAATGTAGTACTTGGTGGTCTCGAACTTCCAGAGGGAGATGTCGATGGTGATACCACGCTCCCTCTCTGCCTTCAGCTTGTCCAGCACCCAGGCATATTTAAAGGAGCCCTTCCCCATCTGGAAGGGTAGGGGCACAACTCAGGATAGGGCACAAGACTCAGGGGGTCACATTCACCTGTCAGGCATGCCTTGGGCCATGGAAACAGCCATGAGAGGTTAGGGTTGGGCTAAAGCACCTTGAAGCAAGGACCTCCATACCATCTCTCTGGCACTGACGCCCAAACCCTGCTCTGCTACCCAGATCAGCCAGCCCCATTCCCACTCACCTCCTAAGTGGTTGTGGACACACAAGTCCCCCAGAAGGGGGGCGTGAGGGTCTGTATATTGCCAGACTTCATTAACCTCCCATCCCTGGTGAAGGGTCCCTCACTACCTGAGGCTAAGGTTCCACACCCTAGTCACTTATAGATCAATTATCTCATTGGGTTTGGGACTATTAAAAAAATTCTGAGTCATTATTTCAAAAAAATGAAATTAAGAAAATAAACAAATTGGTCAAGGTTTTGAGCTCTTTCTGTAGCTGATGAGTACTTCCAACTAGCTTGGAGGCATTCCCTCCCCCCCCCCGTCCCCTTACAACAAAATAGGAGAAGAAAGAACACCCCCACTCAGAGCAAGCCTAGCTTCTCTCTGCCAACTAGTGCCAGGGTGAGACTCCTACAGCCTGGGCCACAACTGTGGTCATTGCTCAGCCAGAATCTCACAGGACAGGCTTCTGCATTCCAGGGATGATGCCCAGCCTGGAGGAGCTGTCCAGACAAAACCCAGCTGGGACCTGACCCAGGTGACCTTCAATCCCTCAGCTCCCTGCTACCACCTCCCCTCAGAATAACCTCTTAAGGTATCCCCAGACACACAGAGTCGTGGCTCAAAACCCACATACACACTGGAGCAGAGGTTCAGCACAGAGAGCTGCTGCCCTCAGGCCTGGCCTTAGCTCTTTTCCAGGAGCCAGCTCTTCTTGGAGCAGAGAAGAGAATCCAGTTACAACCACTGCTCATTCGTAGGTCTCAGCCAGGAGCAGGCTACCAAGACCCCCTACTCCAGGCACCATCCTGAACCAGCAATCTTCCCCAGCTTATCTGGAGAAAGTGGAGCTGGCAAGACTGCTGCCTGTCAATCAGCTATTAATAGCATCCTTGAGCCCTGGCTGTTGCAGGGCAAGTGAGGGCAGCACCACATCCAGTATAACTTCAGCCCTGGGGAGTGAAAGGATAAGGCTTGAGGGCTCTCTGGCCCACTGAGGCCAAGAGTCCAGAGCCCTCTGGTGGATCTGGGCAGGACACACATCCTCCCTCCCTCGGTCTGGAGCAAATCCTGCAACATTCTCAGAGGGAGGCTGCCCTACTTACCCCCACCCCCCAGACACCCATATCCTTTGCACTGAAGGTATAAACCAAGCAATGCAAGCAGAAGGCCCATGGTGCTCACCTCTGCTGCCTCCTTCTCAAACTTCTCGATGGTCCTTTTGTCGATGCCCCCGCATTTGTAGATGAGATGGCCTGTCGTGGTGGACTTGCCTGAGTCCACATGGCCAATGACCACAATGTTGATGTGTGTCTTCTCCTTGACCATTCTGCCTGGTTGAGGGAGGGGTTATCACTGTGGGGGCTCTGGCACTGTGTTGAGGGTGTGCTGGGCAGGAACTCTGTGGGGCCAGTGACAAGGGAGATGGGTGATTACGAAGCCGGAGAGAGCCCAACGGAGACGCCCACACTATTCTTGTTGTTGTTTGAGAGCTTGCCCCCACCCAGCCACCTGAGGTTGGATGAGGGAGAATGGTTTGCCCCCCACCCTGATCCTAGCCCAGTATAGCCAGGTTGCACTCATAAGCCACCTGTTCCTCTACCTTAGCCCAAATGGTTCCTTGGAGTGTAAATATTTGGAGAGTTGATTTGGAAGAAAGTTCCTTAAGGAAGGGTTAATCCGGTCTGGACATCACAGAGCTGCAGGCTGAGTGATCCTCTGTGGCAGCCAGGAGCTCTGTGATGAGTCACTGTGCCCAGCTCTCCAGTGCCTCGTCCTCCCTGTCCTCGATGCCGCCACCACCACCACCACCCCCCCCCCGACACACACACACACACACACACACACACATACAGCCCAGGGAGGGACACTGCCCTACCCCCATCTGCTGCCACCATGGAGAAAAGGCCAGCACTCCTCAGCCCCTCCACAGGCAAGGGCGCCATCTTCCTATCTCTGCCCACAGGCTGGCAGGGGAGACAGCTGGATGGTGCCCAGGCATGGGCCCAGAATAGCTCAGGCCCTCCCCATACTCAAGCAGGGGGCAGCCATCAGGGCTGAGAGGTGAGTGTCCTGTTCTAGCCAGAGGAATAAAAATCTCACCCTAGTCCAGCTCAGCAAGTGCCCTCACAGATGCCCTCTCCCTTGCCCCTACCATCTGATCCAGGCCCTGGGTCTCAGTACCTGCGCATCACAGGTCAATGGAGAAGCTCGAGGCGGGGGCGGGGGTGGGAGGGGTGTGGGGGAGCAATCCTAGGGTGGGAGCCACGTAGGGCAGGGTAGGGGTCATCAGGTTTCACCACCTCTCCCGCCCCTCTCTGACAAACCACTAATACCCCCCCAGAGCCCGGAACCATACCAACACCTGCACCAACCAGCCTGTCCAGGCCCGCAGGAGAGCCCCAAGGTCATGGTGACAGTGTGATCGCAGGCTTCAGGAGAAGACCCCCCCCACAGTCCCCGCCACTGTCACCAAGTAAACAATCGCCTAGGGGGCACACTGCCCGACTGCCACAGGGACCCACCATGCCCAGTGTGCAACCGAGAGACCCCCAGCCCAGGGGTGTAGCACAGCTAGGTGCCGCGTGTCCCCTCTACCTTGGGTTGGGTTCCCAGGGAAGCGAGCCTCCGGTGGAAACCTAAGCAACAGTCGCAGACCTGGATGTGCGTCCTTACCCAGAGCCGAGGTCTCAGTCAGAGGGACTGGCGGCGGCGGCGCCGGCGGTTTTATCTCTCCAGGAGGGGGTCCACCTATTGACGGTGCCGGCGCAATGCACTGCGCCCCTGCAGTACAGCAATGCGGTACCGGCGGGGGGAGGCGGGCGCCGGGAGGCTGGCAGATGGGGTGCGAGCTATGCGCGGACGCAGGGGCCGCGCACCCACGGGCGCGGGCCGGCGTAACGAGAATCCGAGAGGACGCAGCTGCAAAGATGCACCGGGAGCAAGCGGGAGAATCAGCGATCTAGAGCGCAGACCAGGAGAGAAAAACAGGCAAAAGGGCGGGGAGCACGCAGAGGTGGGGGCAGGGAAGCAGGGCCAGGAAGGGAGGGGCAAGGATGGAGAGAAGGGAAAGCAGCAGCAGAGAGAAGAGCTGGGATAGCAGAGACAGTGGTTGCTGGAGAGCAGGGGGGAAAAAAGGCACATCCAATGTAAAAATTGTCCTCAGGAAGGTGGAACGCAAGACGGGGAGCCAGTGAGTGGAGGGGGGAGAAGAGGCCCAAGCCCACGTCAAGGTCCCTGAGAGTCCTGATGTGGGTGGACATCCAGTGTTGGCCCGGTTCGTGATCGAATCCCAGTGAACATGAAGTTTAGTTTCCAGAGGCTCTCCGTGGCGTGATCCCCCGGTACAGTGCTTGTTCACATGGGCCCAATATGGCAGGCCCTTGAGGCCATCAGCAAGTCCAGCCAGATACAACCCTTTTTCTACCTGTTCCCTTAGGTGTGTGTGTGTGTGTGTGTGTGTGTGTGTGTGTGTGTTGCAGGGGAGGGGGATACATGAAGCCCATTGGAGCTCAGGCACACTCCTGATTGCATTCCTGCTTAGACTGTCTTTGCTAAGACCATCAAGCACATCCAAACAGAGTTGAGACCAGCCTCCTTCAGCCCCCATAGATAGGAAGTAGGGAGACTTTGAGGACTCTAGGAAGATGAATAAAACCAAAATAGGTCTTGGGGAGGGGGGTGGGTTGTGGCCACCTCACCAGAGGCTTCTTCAGAGACAGCATGCCCCGTGCTAGACATAGAAGGCCCAGGTCGGGGCCCAGCACGTCCTACTGAGACAGTGCCCATGAGGAGCCCCTGGAGATGGGTGCCCAGTAGGGCAGGCAGCTAGCAAGTGGGAAGAAGGAGTAAAAGGTGAAGCCTGAGGGGTCTGCCTGGCAGAGGGCAGCCAGAGACCAGGCAGGCCTCTCAGATGACCGGGCACTTACGAAGCCTGCTGATACTGCCAACTGGGAGCCAGGAATTAAAAATAAATTCCTGGCAAGACATTAGCATTCACCCTGCCCCGCTTGCCCAGCTCATCTCTCCGCAGGATGCCTTCCTTCTTGCATGGAGATCAGGCCTGGTTTGGGATTCAGGAGGCTGGGAGGGCTCAATAGAGGTGTCAGGAGGGTCCAGGGTCGAGAATCCTTGGGAATAGCCCCCAGTCCTTCAGCTCTGGAGTTTTCACCAGACTCCCCCTTGCCTGTGTAGTCTTCCTCTGTGTACATCTGGGACACAACAAGTCAGCAAGACTCAAGGTCAGGAACCTGCCCACCTAGAGGACTGACCACTGATGACAAGATGTCATATCCTTCCTGAAACACCTATACATTGACCTAGGGGAGGCAGGTCAAAAGTACCTCCCTATCATTAGGACGTACTTTGCCTACCAGTGCAAATCCCTGAAGCCTTTGCTGGCATGGAAGATCCTAGGAATATGCAGGAAAAACAAATCTTCAGTGGGTAACAGTGCTAACCCCACTGAACAGCCTTGAAGCCCACAGTTCCAAGAGGCTACTAACCCGGCAGCATTAAACAATTGCCAGACACTCAATAGCTCCAGCAACTGAGCAGCTATTGCCCCCATCTGCATGTAGCCTCCAAGCTCAGTGCTGGGACTAAACCCCAAGGCAATAGTGCTGGGATGGGGCTTCCTAGGGGGCGTTTAGGTTCTGTGAGCTCCAGCCTTATCCATGGATTAAATGCTACCATTAAAAGTGCCTATGCCATCCTAGAACCTTCATCGAGTGACTGATGGAAGCAGAGACAGATACCCACAGCTAAACACTGAACTGCACTACTGAAACCCAGTGACAGAGATGGAGGAGTGATGGGCAAAGGGGTCAAGACCATGATGGTGAAATCCACAAAGACAGCTGACCGGATAAGGGGGAACTCTTGAATCCCAGACTGATGCCTGAGAGGCCAACAGGGGACTGGTCCAGACTCCATGAATGTAGTCTCAGTGAGGAGGCCACAGAAATCACTGGGGCCTTAGGTAGTAGATCAGTGTTTATCATGGTTTATGAATGATCTTTGGGAGCCCATTCTCTCAGCCTAGACACAGGTCCTTCTCTGGATGAAATGACAGACTTTGGAGATCCCCCCCAAGGAGGGCCTCACCCTCCCTGGGGAATGATGTGGGGATTGGGTTTGGGGCTGGGGGGGCTGGTGGAGGGACAAGGGAGGAGGGATGGGAGAGGGAGCAGGGATGGACATGTGAAACACTCATGTTTCTAATTTAAATTTAAAAAAATTTTTAAAGTGCCTATGGAGGACTCTCCTGCTGTCCACTTTCAGCTATGGGGCCTAGTTGAGCCCGTTGTCAGGATTTTGGGTTTCTAGTCTCTTCAACTGCATAGTTAGTAGTAGTACTTAAATGACTAAGAAGTCAGCAATACCGCATAAAAGCGGGTCCTATAAATAGACCTGGGGACCCCAAAACCTATGAGGAAACTGGGCAAAGAAAAGCTAAGCCCACTGCCTGAGATGACACAGCAAGTAGGTGATTGAAAACATTAGAACCATGGACAGTACGGCTTCCAGATTGAAGCTGGATCTCACCTGTGACCTGCTTCTCAGTTACTGATCACAGTGACCCTGGGAAGCCGCTAGAGGGGGGGCAGGGAAAGCAAGGAGGGGCTACAGGAAACCAGGATTCTTCCTAGGGGCAGTGTGGAGGGCAGGGCACAGGCTCTGTCCCTCCTCAGCTCCTCTGGGAGCCCCCCAGATGCCATCTTCAAGCTGCCTGGGGAGACAGCATCCCCCTCGTTGGCTGGTGGGGGTTTCACAAATGTTGGGAATGAAGATCCAGCTAAAATTAACCGTTATCAAGCTGCCAGCCCTGCAAATAAACCTGCCTCCCATTGGCTGGTGGTGATGTCACTGTCAGGTTAATAATAGCTACAGTGCCCAGCTAACCACCTGTGTGGGTGCCTTCTGTGAGCCATGGCCAGGCCAGCCTCCTGGAGTCAATGTCCAACAGATGTGTGCCATTTGGCCTCAGGTGGCTTATTCGGGGCCTTAGAGACAGGGTGAGGGTCTGGGGACGCCTTCTAGCCAGAGAGTTCCCAGGAAGCTTCACCTGGTTTGAGCTGCCAGATACCTTCTGGTCCCAAAGCACAGTCCTTGGGCATGGAGCCCTTAACCAGTCATCTACCTGAGCCTGAGTCCTGGGCAGTCACTGAAACAAAGTCCTCCCTTGAGACCAGCTTCCAGGCAGGTACCAGGAGACTGAGTGAGCTCCTGAGGCAGTAAATAAACTGAGGGGATGTCTGGGCTCTGGGGCCACTCCTTGATAATTCAGTACCTTCCTGAGTTAGAGCTGCTGGGCGGGTGGCAGATAAACTGCATACCTGGAAAACAGCTGAATTTCAGGCTAACCAGGACCCCAAATATACTATCCTCCAAGGCATTGGGCCTGTAAGGTCTGAGACATCCTGAGTCTGTCAGAGAGCCCAGAGCTGCAGGGAGCTGTTGCCATGGTGAGCAGCAGCTCAAGCAGGCAGGAGGCTCCTCCCTCCTCCTCCAGGGAGCCCAGCCCTATATCATCCAAGGAGCAGAGAGAGCTGTTCATCCTCTGGAAACCAGTAAGAGTATGACAGACACTGTGGGACACAAGTCACATTCCACCAACGCCACACAGAAGACCAGTTTCTACGCCCAGAAACAGAAGGTAAAAACCAGGAGAGTCTTCAGGCCCCCGAGCTGGCAGTCATTTCATCTAGAGGGAAACACATCAGACAAGTCACTCTCCACGGTCAAGTCCAGCAGTAGGATGGAGGGGTGTGGCAGGTCTTCTCGGGACTCACTGGATGCAAAGCTCTCTTCAGTGTCCCTGTCTTTAGTTGGGGAAAGGGCACCACAGCAGCTGTGTATTTGACTGCCCAGGGAACAGTACTCACAAGGGCCTGTAGGAGCCTCTTGAAAAGAATTGCCTTACAGTAGGCAGGAACCCTGAAGGGGACAGCCAACCTTAGGTGTAACCATGATCTGCATCATCCAGAAAACCTGGAAGGCCATCATCCAAGAGTCACACCTGGGGCCAACGGGACACAGAGTAGGTACAACATGGGGAGGGTAAAGTCCTTAAAAAAATGATTTATTCGAAACTATGTGTATGAGGGTGTGCCTATACATGTAAGTGCAAATGAGACGTTGAATCCCCCGGGCACTGGAGTTACCGATAGCCGTGAGCTGCCCGATTTTGCTGTTGGAAGCAGTTCTCCCAAAGGGCAGTACATGCTCCTAGCTACTGAACTATCTCTGGTCCCACGCAGATCCTTTTGAAAGAGCGTGAACAGACTTAGAACACTGCACAGTTTCCAGACAGTGAACACACCCTTGGGATCAACATCCAGCTGGCTCCCTTGTGCCCCTCCTGGCAATTGCTACCTCTCAGAGGGCCACCCAGTCAGGACTCCTGACACAGATTCATTGGAGCTGTTTTTTTGTTTTGTTTTGTTTTGTTTTCGGGACAGGGTTTCTCTGTATTGTTTTGGAGCCTGTCCTGGAACAAACTTGGTAGACCAGGCTTGGTCTTGAACTCACAGAGATCCACCTGCCTCCGCCTCCCGAGTGCTGGGATTAAAGGCGTGCGCCACCACCGCCTGGCTTGGAGCTGTTTTTTAAACAGTACAAAGTGAAGCCTCCAATCGGCATCCCATCTGACTCCCCTCCTCGTCAGCTTCCTGTAACCATGACAGACACCTGATAGGAGCTGCTAAGAAAGTGGCAGTCTCATCTGCCCTCAGCTTCGGGGTTCCATGCCAAGGCTGCACACTGTGGTAGGGATATGCCAAAGAACAAAATCGCTCACCTCCTATCCAGGAAGCAAAAAGAAAGAGAGAGGGCCAGGCCTCCCAGTCCTCCTCAAGGGCGCATTCCATCATCCTAAAGACCTTCTCCTTGGCCTCTGCTCTAGAGAACCCACAGTCTCCCAACAGCCCCACCTTAGGGACCACGCCTTCAGACACACGGACCTTTGAAAGCATCCACCATCCACGCCACGGTGTACATCATCATGGCTGTGAGATTCAGCCACACTGTGTCAGATGCCATAATTTGGTTTTTGTGGATGAATATTAATTATTCCACACAGTTTTAACCTGCCATGTGTAAGCAAACCTGTCATAAACGGGTGTGTTTGTGTCACGTGTGATACCTCTGAAACACAGGGTCAAAGGCTTTGGTGTACTGCCTCTTGACTCTGAATTCAACCCCTGTGATGGAGGACAGGATGTGTATCAATACCTCCGTGGGACCAGGCAGAATCTATTCTCCTGGTAACAGTGACTCACCAGGAGCAGCTGGAAGCCCTTAGTGACTGAATGACTGGGTGACTGACCTCCCTCACTGTGCATGGCACTGTCCTCATTCCTCACATATCTGGTTTCCTTTCACTGTGTACAGAGCTTTGGGAAGTGACGCTGGGTTCTGTGGTCGCCTCTGAAGATGGCTGGCCTTTGTTCAATTGACGTTCAGCTACCAGATCTACACAGACTGCTTTCCAAGGTGTTAGAGCCACCCTCGTGACTCCTCCTGGGTGCCGTTCAGCCTTCAGCCTCTGTCTCCCCTGGATGTATCTAGGGCAGGCATTACTATAAATTGAAGTCCTTCCTCAAATAAATAAAAATAAACAAGGAGGCCCACACATGCTGGCGGGACCCATTGCTGCTCGGTGCTGTTTGTTTTCTTAGAATCTCCTCTCTATTCAGACATGCGGTGGCCTCAGCCTGGATGAAGTCCAGTGATTCACACCCTTGGGTATTTCTCTGTCTTGGTTCACAGGGCCCTAAGACTGTAAGCAGCTGGAATGTGAGAGCAACTAGTACCTCCAGGCCCCATCTCATAGCCTACATGACAGATGTTCCTTCTGGCTGGGGGGAAGCCAGGAGGGTACATGCATTACTAAGGAGCTTCCAGGCTGTTAGTCAACGAGAAGAGTTAAGTTTCCCTGGTGACCAGAGAACATCTTTTCACGTAATGACTGGGTGTTTGTCCACCTCTGGAGAAAAGTCTAGTCAAGTCCTTGACCCAGTTTAAATTGAGTTATTTATCTTTTTTTTCCCCCGTGTGTCAAGTTTTGAGAATTCTTTGTAGATCTGAGCACAAGTTCTTTGTCAGATGCGTGATTTGAAAATATTTTCTTCTAGTCTATAGGCTGCTTTTCAGTCTCTTAACAGTATGCTCACAATGTGTGTGTGTGTGTGTGTGTGTGTGTGTGTGTGTGTGTGTGTGTGTATTTTTTTTCCAGCATGGTGGAGTAGACTTGCAGGGTCAGCAACTCTGGGCTTTACACACCATCAGCCTGGTGTCTGGTAGTTTTGTAACCCTCTGCTTCCAGGAGGAGTTAAATGGCTTCAGCAGCTTGTAACAAGTGACACTAAGTGACATCTTCTAATGGGACAGCTGTCACACAGGCTTTGAGTATTGGACTCCTGGCTCCATGGCAAGCATTACACCCCAGCCCAGGGTGTCTGTCTGGGGTCTAGCTTTTGGTCTAGTATATCTGAGACCCTGTGTCCTGAGGGCTCTCTGGAACACCTGCAGCTACCCAGGCATGCAGTTTCTCTCCCTTCTGTCCCTGTTTATCCCCATCTCCTAACCGCTCTTGACCTACCTGTTACTTTCACCATCTTTCGTGGTCTCTGCCCCCCCCCTTTCTCATTGTTTCTTCAGCTGACACCACGGTGCATGCCATCACCAGCCCCCTGTGCCGCGGCCACCTCTGCCACGGCCACCGCTGGTGCACTGTTTCCTGCTCAGCTCTCTCCACCAAAGGTGATCAAAAGTAGGCCAGGAAAACCACTGCGGTGTTGCAACACCAGGTGGCAGCAAAAGAAGTCATCTCCCTGCCAGCCTACAAAATAAGCACACAGCCTGAACCTCGAGCTACGGAAGGGTTCTGACCGAGGTGTGTGCACCAATCGCAACATTCCTTCATGCAAATAAAAGACCGGGTCTGTATCAATTCCAAGAGCATGCTGGGACATCAGGAGAAGTGTCCACTTTGGGTCTCTGTGCAAAAGTCTGGTGTCATCATTCTCATAGTATCTTAATCTTTTTCCACTTCTCCCTGGTCTTGGGGCTCCCCTCCCCTAAACTACCAAGACCATGGGCCTAAACATTTCAAATGTAACCCCTAAGAAAAAAATCTTCCCCCAGACTCCTTAACTTTACCTCTCTGTCTGTCCCCAGTCTATCTGTCCCAGCAGATTTCAAACCAGCTACAGACTGCTCCAGCAATTCCCCAGATCCAGGTGTTACCTCAGAATCTACATCCTAGGCGGATCCAGAGTGGCTAGCCCCAGTTGGTCCAGCCTCACAGACTGCTCCAACTTGGCCTATGGTTTCCCTAGCCCTAGATGGTCCCACAGAGCCTGGACAGCAAGTGAAAACAGCCTGTTCTTCCTGGACTTGGCCAGCATTCCAACTCTCTTGGAGCCCTAACAAGTGCACCCCAGTGTCAGCAGGAAGTAGTCAAAGAAGATGATGTTGCCTCTTATCATTTATTATCAACAAAAGGCCGGGCATTCAGTCTCAAACCCTGGGACAAATGGCTGAAGTGCCTATTTAACATATCAAAGCAGACCTGGCCACCAGGTTCTCCCAGCATCCTTCAATGGTAATCTGTTACAGGGTATGACTGGCATACCCCCGCCCTCTACCCTCCTTCCCCCAACTCTCCAGCTGAGGGTATGGGCTCCTTCCCCCAGAGGCTCTTCCCTATATAATCCAGATGTTTTGGTTACCTGATCCTTTTTATATACCTTTGTCCTGTTGGCTGCTGTACCTGGTTCCCCTCTCTTCTCCCTTCCCCTCCCACTCTCCTCACACGGCTTAGGGTCACGTCCACTCTGGACTCTCCCCCAAATGTTTCTTACTCTGGCTATGCTCTCCCTTGAATCTACAATAGACTTTCTCCTCCACCATGCCTAGGAGCAGCCATGTCCTTTCTTCTTGTTTCTTTCTTCCTCTTTTTGGTTTTTTTTTTTCATTCACCTTGTTTTTCTTTTGTCATATGTTTTTTTGGCCTGCTTGTGTTCCTGCCTTTCCAAGACTGGAAAATCCTGCTTGTATCTTTAACAGCTAAGAGGTAAAAGCATTTCAGGCTGTCTACTCCCATCTGAAAATGTACACACTAGGTATCAGTCTTACAGAGGTTCAAATATCTTTTGGGGTATGAATAATATTGACATTTATTTCATGCTATTCTACTTTAGAGAAGCAGCTTTGGAGTTGGAATTTAGCCCATCTGCTTCAGACCCAAACATGTTTGTTTAGAAGTTTCCTCCAAAGTCCTATCCTGGGTCAGACTAGTCACCTGACTGTGATAAGAGAAGGGAAGAAAAAAAAAAAAAAGAAGAAGAATAGGCCAGAAAAAGACACTTTGAACTTGAGAAAGATTAAAAAGCAAACTTTTCCCATTTTGGCTAGTGACCTTCTGAGTCACGGTTGGCACAAATGTAATTTATTTACAGCAACCGTTCTCAACCTTCCTAATGCTGCAAACCTCATGTTGTGTTGACCCCCAGTCATAAAATTACTTTCATTACTATATTATAATTATAACTTTGCTACTGTTATGAATTGTAATGTAAATATGTGATATGCAGGATGGCCTTAGGTGACCCCTGTAAAAGGGTCATTTGACCCCCTTCATGACCCAGTCATGACCCACCACTGATTTGCAGGGACAAACTTGAAAGGAAAGATCAACATTTATATATACATTGTCAAATTTAAGCCTAAAGCAAGTAAGGCAAAACAAGTTTAAGGTAAACTTGCTTAAGGTAAAATAATTTTCAAAATCAGGTCTATTTTAAAAATTGGTTATAAAAAATTGGACAATTTGGGCCAGGAGGTGGTGGCTCACGCCTTTAATCCCAGCATTCCGGAGGCAGAGGCAGGCGGATCTCTGTGAGTTTGAGGCCAGCCTGGTCTACCAGAGCTAGCTAGTTCCAGGACAGCCTCCAAAGCCACAGAGAAACCCTGTCTTGAAGAAACAAAAAAAAAGTGGACAATTTGATGCTAACAAAAATATGTATTGTCATGTTTTCAAATACTAGATATGATTGTTTAAATAGCCCAATTTTTTAAATTTCACCTTACCAAATTGTTTCTAACCAAGATTTTGTTTTACTCAAGATACTCTTTTTTTGCCCATTAAATAATAGCTGGTATCGTTAATATTTAAAATAAATACACAATGTTCATTCTACGTAAAAGCAAGGAATACCACTTAGATGCTTTCTGTTCAGATTCATCCCTTAGCTGCTGACTTCTTTTACAAAGCTTCCTCACACAGGAGCCTGATGCAACAGCTGATTGCAGTTACTTTATCCTACTATATAGTACACGTTCCAGTCAGTTGTACAACTGGATTTAACCTTACGTTAATTACATATTTGACCTTGTGTTATATTGCTTGATGCTGACATTGATGATGCAAAGGTTTCCCTCGTGTAACTTTGTCTCCTGATGTCCCCCCACGGGGTTGTACAGTTTTTAACCTCCTGACTGATGTTCTGGATCTTTGCCAGCTGTTACGTTTTATCATGTTGCTGAGAGATCAACACCCCCCAGACTCCTGAAAGCAGTTTGGGTGACCTCTAGAAGGGAGACTAATTAGTGCCGTGGGCCATCCAACTCATCCCTCTTCTTTGCACTCTGGACGTTGGCTTGGGGACTCAGAACTTAAGCAGCTGGACTGAAACCTTCTTTGAATCCGTTCACCTCCTCTGTCTCATCATCTCAGGTCAGCTTGACGTCCTTGATCAGCTGACTCCTTGACACAGCAGTACTCCAAAATTTAAGAGATTAGATCTAACTACTGGGGACAGGATTTTTTGGCCCCTTCAACAAGACCGCTTTCACGGCAACAAATCCTAACTGGTTTGTGATGGTGCCTAGAGACAGTGGCCCAACAAAAATCTCAAACACAAGCCTCCTCCTGTGAGCCGGCTTCTGGCTCCTCCCCTCACTTCCTTCTCACCTCCTCTCCCAATTACTCCTTTCCTCATTACCCTCTTACTTAATATTTTACCCTGTCTTTTAAATGTTTTACTTACTGAACTCCACCCTATCCCTAAACAAAATGTTCCACGAAAGCGCTCCCCGAAGCTCTCATCTTACAACGGCTGAATTTGTTCCTGACACGTCTGCAAAAAGACCTTTTAGAAGCTGTGGAGAAACCGGTCCTCAGGCTTGCCAACTTTCTAGCCCCCAGGAGCAGAAAAATATTTTAATTATACCCAGCTCAACAGTCTTTTCACCCCAAGCCAGACACAATTCTTTACGTTAGTCCTCTATTTTCTCCTGTTCCCTTCCTTCTTAGTAGCCCCCTGCTTCTTCCGCTGGCTCATTTGGGTGAAACAGCCCTGGCAATGGGACCAGGCACTGACACCCTGAACCAACTCTATGCAGACTTTCTCTCGCAGGCACACTCTGCCTCACCTACCTCCATTCCTCCTCCTTCCTCCAACCGTCCCAGAAAAATCTCTCTGCCTGCTTACAGCCCTCTAATAATCGTTTTCTTCAGGAATGCAGGACAACACTCGAATGATCTCACTGTAGCCGATCAAGCTAAGACTCTCCCTGTTATGTCACCAGACTCCCTCTTCAATGGGCCCAGAACTTACCCCTGTAAGGATTCAGGCATTATGTTGG